TTTGCTCGCCTGTGCGTGCGAGTCAGATTATGGGCCCTCCTCGGCCCCACGTAGTATCACGCCTGGCGGGCGCGTGCCGGGGCTAACAGTAGCCGAGGACTGACGGCGACGACATTCAGCCCGTGCTGAGCGGGCAGCGGTAATCAAATCGGCGCAAACCAAGCAACCGAATCTTACGTGCGACTGATGGGAGTTTCTCAAGCCAACCCGCGCGGCCACGCCCCCCGCTACTTGGCGTTAAGGATGCTGGCGGAGAAAAAATCAATCTCCCATCAACGCCGCCTACTTATGGCGTCGCACAGCGGCCCCTGCACACCAACCCCAAACTCATCAGGGTCTGCGATGAAACAATCCACCTGTCTTCGCCCAGGCACCGCTTGCAGCGGCAACATTGCGAACCGCCCCCCGGGAAAGCGTGTCTGAGCAAAACCACCCTAAATCACAGTGGCAGGTCTGCGGCAACCAGTTGTAGCGTTTTGTGTCTTCGGCCGCGAGCAACTGAGGGTGCCACGCTGACAATACGCAGTAACTAGCAAGTTTACCCTACGTATGGTGGCAGTGCAACACGGTGGGGATAAGTGACAACAAGAAGATACAAGATAAGGTACTGCCTACCTTGTACGTCGTCTCGTCGGCCACTCGGTCTCCACTCCTACACGAGCGCCTCAGTGCTAGAATATTTTTTTGCTGCGCTCTCTCCTCCAGAACCAGCGTTCGTTTCCGGCTCACGGTGGCGGTAGTCAACAATGCCAGTGTGACGTCCGTCACGGGACAGACAGTGACACAACAACAACACGGCGCACTTATGATGCGCGGGGCTTACTCGGGACATTAATTCTTTAACGTGTAGGGGAGGGCTAGGCAGCCAGCTGACCACAAACACAAAGGGCGGCACTCACGTTTTTGATGCGGGCCTAAGGCTGGCTACTCGAGGGGGTTATTAAATACGGTCTGTTGACGTGCTATCAAGTCACTATTAAAACTGCTATTGCCGTTACCGTTACATGTACTATTAGTATCACCTATTACCTCAGACCGAGGTGTTGCCAAAATACACCCGCTGTAGCTCACTCTGCTCTCGTTCATCTCCGGTCTTCGCTCGGGTGCGTCTCCCTCTCAGCTCGGTACCCGTCGAGACCTCAGGCCAAACAGCCGCTGCGACCGTGTACGGGCGCGCGGACTCCTGCTTCCTAACTCCTCTTCTTCTCAACTCTCTCTAAAACTATTGCACGTGCCTCTTTCCCGCTCCAGCTCAACAAACAACGCTAACCCACGCTGTGTTGCACACGGCTCTCGCTGCGCGCAGTGTTTTCACTACTCATAGTCCCCGCTAGAGGGGGTTAAAACCTCGTGACTAATGGCGGCCCCCCATAGAATACGGGCGTGAGTGAGTAATTTGCTGCAATACGCTTACAAAGCATCATGAAACAACACAGAAAGACATTACAAACTAGAACCGATTAGCAAACACAACATTTAATCTCCCCCAGGGGCAAGCTCACCCCTGTGAGCACCAGGCTCGGCGCAACGGCGGTAACCAGCCGCCAGCACATATAACTAAGACAGAGCTGGCAAGATTCAACTTATTGTAGGGGGAAGTGTTATTTTACATGTAACTTTCATATTCTTTGTGGCTGAATATACTGTTTCCGTCATCTTCGAGATGAAGCTCCTCCTTTCAGTACACATTTCTGTTTATAATGGACTTTAATCCGAATCCCATCATCACGAAAGCCATCTTTCGTTTGAATTTCTGACGCAGCATAATCTGAAAGTAAAATGTTTATTTTAAATATCAGGGTTGTGACTTAAGTATATGTAGACTTTTTGGCTTATAGTGTGTACATTATACATTCAAGGCAGACACATCCAACTTAGGGCTGTCCCAGAAAGTAGCGTATGGGGGGCAAGATGGCACTTCCAAAAATAAATTATGGGTGGCTGCATGGGGTCAGCAACAAATCAATATTATCGGTGGATGTCTTTTGGCCCGCTGTTGCTAATACATTTAGGCTTTTTTTGATAATTAACTTATTATTGGTCGTGGGGATGCATTAAATTCAATTTTATGTGTGGTGGGGGTCAAAATTTAGTGCCGTCTTGAGTACCCCCCCCCCCGTACATTTTTTTATGGAACAGCCCTTAGGCTGAATGCTTGGCAGCTCACTGAATTAATACCTTCATTTATTATTATTTCATCGTAGCTACATTAACAACAATATCACATATTAGATGGGGTTTTTGGGTGTCTTTTAAATAGTGGGTGTCTTCAAATTGTACATCCATTACTTACTTTTGAAAGCAGCGATTATGTTACTATCCAGGCACCTGCGCGGTGAGAGAAGTCGTTCTCTAATACAATCTAGTATGTCATACTCGACAAGTTCTTTTGGCAGGTCAGTAGATGCCTGGTTAACACCTGTACCTGTTGCACAGCCTCTTATCAGTTGATTTGGAGCGAAAAAGTGTCCAACTAATTTGCGGACAGCCAAACTTGGATTTCCGTTTGCTTCTGCCATTTTCTCCGATAGCACTCTTCGTTTAATCAAAACATCTGGATAATGCTTTGAAAGTGGTATTGTAGTCGAATCATGGAAAAAATCTTATTAAGACTCTATTTGTGGAAATGCTCAACTATATCATTACATAGGCGAGAACCAATCACACTATATTTTATGTAGGACCTCATGTACTGGTACATACCGTACATGTAATATCATTACCTCCGCACAACGGAGTTGCAACGGAGGTCATGTAATCGGTCTTGTGTGTCTGTGTGTGTGTGTGTGTGTGTGTGTGTGTGTGTGTGTAGCCTTGGCGTGATTGATAGCATGTCGAGTCAGCGAGTGGCGAGTCAGCAGCAGCCACCAGTGAGCGGCGAGTCCGTCAGCAGCCGCCACCAGCGAGCACATACATGTTAGATGCTCGCGGAGGTATGCACTCTCCGTGAGTGCCCTCTGTCTAGTTATATTATATTCAAGTCCAAGTAGACAGGGATTCAGTATCACGTGTGTATACTTCAGGATGTGCCCTTCACATTCACCGCGGTAAAATATTAACTTGTGCAAAACCTACCGAATCCACATTGCCATCGTTTTCATTGATTTCTGGAGATGAATTAATGAGGCTTGTCGAAGCTTCATACTCTGAATTTGTCAGCGATGCAGCGGCAAACCCATATGATGGTGTAGAGGATTTAGCTGTGGCAATCTAAATAAACACATATTGATTGTGAAGACAAAGAAATCATTGCATTTACAACTGATTTCAATCAACTAATCATTTTGATATTTTTGTTCCCGATAATATTCTGGGCATGTCTCTCATAAATTATGCAAATTAGATCAAATTCTGTCAGTTATTTTAAATAGAGGCATCAGTGTATAGGCCTATAGAAAGACTGTTAGTAAGCATGCAGATCACCACTTACCACTGGCATGGAATCATCCAAGTGGATTGGAGAGATATAGTCCGTAGATTGATGTGGTTGATTGTCATCTTTGCTGAAGTGTTTTTTTTATGGAGGTTTGGATGCAAAACCACTACCCTGTCTCCTTATGTGCTTTACCAGGTTATCCATCCACATGACTTTTCCTGGACTGCATAAATGAATATAGTTTCAATATTAGATTGGAAAAGTTTCTTTCATACTCAAATGAAAGCGTCACTGTAGAAGTAAAACACGGTTTGAGGTTTTTTGACCTGAAATTAGTTATGGCCATTTACAGATTCAGCAAAAACAATAGGCTTATCACATTTTCAATAGTGATAATGTGTGTGAGATTTTCGTTGAATACTAACAAATATTTACACTCACCAGAATGCCTTTCTGACTCGAGCTTTCTAACTCTTTGCTCCAAGGAGTACACTTTATGTTCAGCGGTCAACTTTGCACTTTGAGCAGTTTGCAATTCCTCCTCCAGTTGCCTGATTCTATTGTTACAGTTTGTATGAACAGAACTGAGGTCCGTGTAAACTGGTCTCGGCCATAAATCAGGTTCTTGTTCATACATGACAGACTGCAAAAAATGAGAAATTTTTATTAGATGCTCAAGGAAACATATCTGGTATATTCTATGAAATTCTAAGTGCAATGCAATTACCAACAGCACACTATATAATTATAATTGTACCGGTATATCTTAATTTTAATCATCAAACTTACATAACCAATAATCAATCTCAATGTCATAACCTATTTTACTTACACTTGTTGCGGGCAGAATATTACTGCATTGGCATAATCTGCAGTTTATCATGAGCCTCTCATCATTGTGGATAATCTTAGTACCGACAGTGATGTGTTTTTATGACTTCTGTTCTCTTATTTATGTCTAATCATTTGGGATCTTATTATGTCTAATCATTGTAATGTTCTTTTTTCTTTGGGCCACCATGCCCCTCCTAATTCCTAGACCGGCACTGGTACCATACTCTTGAAGGGCTTTTGTCCCAAGTTTTCAACGACCACAAAGTGAGAAACAGTAAGGCCCATACATACCACAAATTTTCAAGACTGTTGCTCTGAAATGACTTTTCGAAAACCAGACATCTGCCTCACATTCAGCATTCGACCTGTGCTCCTCTTTTGAAATTGCTCCAATTGGAGCAATTCCAGGAAGTTTTCCTTGCTGCCAAAACACAACAGCTCTCTTTCTTGTCAATGTAGTAGTTTATTCGCCACATTATACAATGTTTTAATTTACTTAGGACAGGTTAATAGTTTAGTTGAATATCATTTCAATTTGCTTGATTCAATTCAAGTTTTTATTGAGTTATACAGCTATTGTAGGGGTGTGATTCGCACTACCTTAGTGGAAGTTCTGTAGTAGACTGATAGAGACAAGACAAGACAAGAAGCAACGTTCACTGGTGTTTTACTAAATCTCTAATACAATACATGAAGTCTCCGTGCACTACCGAAAGCAAGAGTGGTTACTACACACTACACTTTCCTCAGCGGGTGGCTGGCACAAGAGCCTGTCCCGAGAACGGTGGCTGGCACAAGAGCCTCGAGAAGCGATCATATTTCTCAGTCCTGGATCCCAGTATAACCCTTGCCCACTCTCAATATAGGCCGCGACTACGCCTACGGAACAAAGAAATTATGAAAATCAGGGACAAGGAAAAAATTTAAAATTTTTTCCCAAGGTAGGATGCTGTTAATGCTATCATTCGCATTCACCTTCAAATTATCCAGTGATTGCTTAGAAAATCTTCTCAATCTGATCGCGTTACACTGTATTGCTCCAAACCTATGTGTAAAAACATCATATTTGTTCAAGAAGTATTTTGGAAACTTAAACATTCCACTGAAGTACCACAAGTTCTGTAGTATTTGCCATTACTACATTGGAGAAGAAGCTGTCTGCAACACATGTACAGTGTGTGGTAGTGACTTGCTCAAGTCAAAGAATGAGAATATTATATCGAATTACCTCTAGCTGAGCAACTGCAGGCACTTTACAGGAGAGCAGAATTCTGTGAGGACATTCAACATAAGTCTAACTGGGGAAAAACATGTGACAGAAATGTTGAAGATATTTACGATGGCAAATTATACCAAGAACAGGCAGAATTCTTCAGCAATAAAAACAACATCTCACTGATGTGGTATACTGATGGGATACGTGTTTTTAAGTCATCCAAGTTCAGCATTTGGCCAATGATGTTCATTATAAATGAATTGGCGTATGTCAAAAGGACAAAATCAGAGAACGTTCTGCTTGGTGGACTGTGGTATGGTGAAAGCAAACCTACATTTGCTACATTTTTGCGTCCATTCTATCGTACTCTAAGTGATTTGAAGGCAAACGTTGACCTGGCAGACAGCTGTTGCTTTGGTCGTGTGTTGTTTAACAAGAACAATATGGTTATCATCTTCGGTGACTGCACGTCTGAGCTTATCTAATGGCATGTTAATGATATCTCCAGCACGTCTTGCATTCGTAAGCAATGTTGATATCATTAAATGATTTCGGATCTTCACGAAGGCTTCCTCTTCCGTCACACTTCCTGTACCACCGAAGAGCATGCTTTTTGCAGATTTTGCAGCACGTGATTTAACCTAATTCTGTATTGTCTCGACAGGTATTTCTGTATGCAGATATCTTATTTTGTCATCAGTTACTTCCTTTTTTGCGGCCTTGTGGAGGGCTGCCTTTACGTTACCTATTACGAGGGAGAGTTTCCCTAATGAACCATCATACAAGGTCTCCAGTCTAATCCCAGAAACTGCACAGGTTTTTCCACGCTCCATAAGTACAGGATGATGGTCACTGACTTCAGGGATTTTTCCCCTCAAATTTTGAACCACTCCACTTTTATTAGAAATCTCCCCAAGGCGTTTAACCGTTGCAATGGTTGCCGGCATTTCTATCATATCTAATATAGTTTTGACCCTCTGTACGTGTGGCTTGGAAACGTGCTTTGGAATTTTCCATCCAGGGAAGCCCATAAGATATTCTTTAAAATCAATGAGCAGTTTGAAAGTTCTGTAGGTACTTTGTTCACCTGTTCTTGCAGAGGTTCACACCCGTTCTTTGTGATCTCATACTGCTCGCTTCCTTTGGTTAATCCGTGAATTTTGGGCAGGTGTATGTCCAATCAGCTCTGTGGTTTTTGACAGAGCATACACCTGTATCGTGGGTTAACTCTCCTTCCTCTTGCACAGCAGATATCGGTCTGCTGATAGGGAACAACGTGAGAAGAGAACCTGAGGACCTGAGAACAGACCACCCCAATACTTGGAAGGAACTGGAAGCTGGAAACATATCCGTCACGAAGAACAAGATCCCATTTGTATCCATTGGTGCAGACCACGCATGCGAACATCTGAACAAGCTGATGAAAGTTCATTCTGGACTGATTGGCATCTCCAACAACGCCAACGCTAGATAGAGGTTCTTCATGGCTGCACCAGAACTGTCGAGCCTGTCGAGCGAGTTTAAGAGTCGGTTTGATGTGGAAGCTGGCAAGGTCACAGCACGATGACCTTAGACCAAGTGCAGTCAAGAGGGAGCATGACGAAATCAACATGATTAAGGCTGCGTGTGACCTGATGTGAAGGGCTGCCATCCTGAGTCATGGCAATCCATTTTCCACTGAAGATGACCAGCTGCACAATCTTATCACCCATGCCTACATCCCAGACGAGTATGTGCCACAGATCCTGAACATTGATGTCACTGGGCAGAAGTTGTATGAAGAGTACGTGTCAGAGCGAATCAATGGGGACGTCAGCCTCTGGGCACCAGTGAAGAAACACAACAACAAGATGTTTATTTCTGGCAACAAGAAAACCAGTGTGAAACTCAGAGACAAGACTGTAGATCTGAAGGAGACCAAGGATCTGTACGGAAGGCAGATGGTCCTTGCCAGGTCAAACTGAGACATCGACCAGAAACAAGCCATCGGCAACTATGAGTTCACGTTGACACCGAGGGCACTGTTTGAGGCAAACGAGGCAATGCTGCCATGTATTGACAAGGCAAAGTTGATCCATCTCCTTGAGAAGCTGGGAACAGCAGAACTACCCCATGAAGATCAGCAGCAGCAGCTGCATGATGCAAGTGTTCTGCAGCGCGATGCAGTGGATCCAGAAACCATGAACTGCACACTGAAGAGCCTCATCCAAGTCGAGAAATTGCACTGGTGGACGGTATGGTGGTCGTGCAGAAGCTAACAAAGAACGTAAGATTTTACGGCGGGACTCGAATGCATAACCTCTAGCAACCGACAACACGCCTGTTCACTCGCTTGCTCCGAAGTGAGAAAAGGTTGTGCCCTCAAAGTCAGCCTCTTTAATTCTCGGCATACTCACGCCAACTTTGCCCAGGCTGGCGAACGCAGTGACGTAGGGCTGCTCTCCTCCCCAGTGCACTACCCAGAGGTTGAAAAACCCGCTATCAAAGCGCAGCGCACCATCGACTCATCAACGTCGACATCACAGTCTTATAGAACGGAGGACGCCGGCCATTCCAGTGCCCCCACTAACTGCACTAACCTCTCCTCAGCGCACCACCCATTGAGCCTGCATATCAGGTCAAACTGGCGGAGGAAACCCTCTAACGGCACACCCTCCTTACCTGTGAAGGGCTTCACCCTTACCCTAGTCTTAGCTGCTGACCGAGGGAACCCCCCAGATTCCCTCACAAAGGGGGATGCAAAATGCATATCACTCCCCCCACCAACAGCAGACGTAGCCAACCCACCCTCACGCTGGGAACTCATCACATCACCCTCACGGTGAGAAAACAACGCATCACCCTCGAGGGGGTTATTAAATACGTCTGTTGACGTCTATCAAGTCACTATTAAAACTGCTA